TTTTAGTGCTGTGTAAAAACTTGAATAAAAGACAAATGCAGTTTTTGTTAGAAACAATTTATTTTCATTTCAGTCAATAAGCAAACAGTACATCTAAAAAAAAGAAAATCACTGCAGTTTTGGCACTACACTATACATCAGTGAGGTACTAAATGCTTCAATGCTGTGACTGATTTCAAGTCATCAGGGGAAAACATAAGCAAACCAGAACTTTCGTTTTGCTGGGTTTTAGAAAAAGAAAAAAGTAAATTGATTTGAGGATAAGTGGGAAGAGGTCACAATTATGGACAGGCAGTTTGGTTATATTCTTGCACCGAGATACATGAAATGCTAATCAAACTGTGCTAAGGTCCTCACAGCAAACGTGTCACACAGCACAGCAGTGGGGAGTTAGCCCTCTCCCTTCCTTTGCACCAGTAGATGAGAACAGACTCTTGAAGTTCCGCCATCTACTTCCTCTCAGAAATGATTCCAATGAGAAAAACAAAAGTTAGCACTTCAAAAAAAGGTCAAATAAATAAATAAATATGTTTGTGCATATTTGCTATACAATGATATATACATACATGATGCATATAATCATATATAGATCAAACAGTCACACAAACATTGTGTGTTGCAGGTTCAAGTCTAACCCTAAGAGACCATTCTTCAATAGTCAATTCTCTGTAGCTTGCAACAAATGCTTCACTATCGAAAGATAGTAAAGAGTATGTCCTACATTGGACATCGTGTTGGCTCAGAGTTGATTCTTGGGACATAATCCTGAGAAATGTGTGGGACACCAGCAGATGTCTTCAAGCATCCCATAAACACACCCACACATATACATCCGTGCACATGCACACAAACAAACCAAAAAAAGGGGAGGGGGGGAGCTGTACAGTAATGTTACAAACTGCAGGTCACTCATCCCTGCAATGATTGATCCTTAAATATTAAGTATAGTAGAAATGTGAAGGAGCTAAATACATAAATACAAATATTATCAATCATTCAGTGTGCCACAACTCAGTTGACTTGTGTGCCAGTCTTTAACCACAGCATCAGTCAAGAACTGGAGCCAAGTGGCCCATGCAGGCTTCAATCTGTGCAGTCAGTCGTCCCACGCTGACAAAAGTGAGACACACACAAACAACTGTAGAGAGGTGGCTCCAGGAGTTTTCTCCTATCCTCTCTGGGATGATCCCCTCAGCAGTTTCAATCGATGATCTTCAGCGATGATTCATGTTTAAAATCTTTTGGGTGTGCATGTGAAGACATTCGATGAAATGTATTCCTGGAGAACGGTGTCACGTGTCTATGCTTTACCAGGATTTAGGCATAGTAACAGGGGGAGACCAGCAGGTCAGTCAGAACGAGCAGCTGGTCGTCTGTGAACTGCTGCTTATGTTGCTGCCAGTTGTCATGGTGAGTCCGTCTAAAGTTTGACAGAGTTTTCTTCACAGTCATCTAAGGAACAAAGTTATAAAAACACAAGTTATATTTAAATTTCTTATTCAGCGAAGACACTATAAGAGCAAGCCAACTGAAAATTAGGCTCGCTGCAACAATGTACGGTGATTAATAGGTGACTACGCATACTTCAATAGGTTGTGTGTCATTTAGGTGAGCACTGAGGTCCATCAAGAGCTGCGGCATCCAAGTGGGCACATCGTACGGGCTGGACAGAATACAAGCACTCAACCCAAGAACACCAGCATGGCGCCGTACCAGGTCTACAAAAACACAACAGGGGGGAGTAAACTAAAATGAGACAACAGCATAGTAAAAACACCATCACATATTATTGAGGAGTTCCTTCTAAGCTAGTTCTTTACCAGCAGAGGGAATAGTGTCCACTATGGAGCCGAGCTCCCTCTTCCTCTTCTTAGGTAAGGACGTCTTGCAGAGGGCCTCAAAATGTGCCTGCATAGGGGCGTCCATGGACAGGAAATTGCACTGAAGGAAGCCACTGAGCGTAGTAGCGGCCATTTCTCTCACCTGGGAAACAAAGGCAGATAACTGAGATGGGAAGTTGTAGTTTACAGTGTATGGGGTTGTTACAGTACAGTATTACTTACAACACACATTACAATGACTCAAATGAATACACATATTAAAAACGGATTGTTCTAGAACTTGCTGCCAGTAAATAAAATAATAAAGAAAGGAAAAGTAATTGAAAAACTAAAGCAAACATTACCTATAATTAATTGGACTATAGCTTGAGGACTGTCTTTTAACTGAATATTTGAATCGTATCATATAAAACATTGTGCTTCAATTAAATTTGGAAGGTAAGTGCAACTTTCAAGCTAGGGTTATGATGCTTTGTAGCACATTTAATGGTTCTATTCTCTGTTTAATTCTTTAAATGGGTTTTATCCAGATCTTTGAGCAGCATTCTCCAGAGAGAAGGCCTCAGATTAAATAAGACCTCTCATGCAAATAGGTTACAGCCTCTCTCTTCAGTGCATTTTTAAGTTCAGTATAAACTAACATGTTTTTTTTTTTTCTTGAAAGGAAGGCACATTCCTCATGAGTCAAGCTCTGTGTTTTGTGTGATAAAGCTTACTCAGTGATATAATAAAAGAAAAGGGTTTGTGCATGCATTAGATGTGTTTTCATATGTACATCTAATGCATGCACAAACTCTTCATATAAACTATAAACCAGGCGTAGGTTAATTTAAGAGGCCAAACAAAAAATGGCTACTTCCATCCATCCCCCACTTCTCCTTTGTCTCCACTCCATCCCCTCTCCCTCTCATCCTCTTTCAATCTGAACGTTATCTCCATAGCAACAGATTACTGCAGCCTGTGGTTTCCATAGCAACAGCTAGAGGACTGGAGGGGTGGGGATGAGTGTAGAGCCAGGAGGAGAGTGCTGAATCACTACAGTGAAACTGAAAGACAGCGAGAGTGCCTGCTAGCATAAACAAGTACTGGCCCATAGCTTGGAGATTATATAATCAGACAGCCATGTGTTTGTTCATGTCTCCAACTGTGTACCGGTTACCGTTCCGCCAGACTGATCGAATGTTTCATCTGTTAGCGTTAACATTTCTTATGAGCTTTAACATTGAGCTGCTTGCAGTTTACCTCCAGCTGCTCGTCTTCCAGCAGTTGTATCACGAGCGAGCGCACGTCGTTCACCGCTTTCTGGTCACTCATGAAGGTGAACAGGTTGTAAAAAACCATGATCTGGAGGTATGTGAGCACCGTGTAGCGAGCGTGCCAGGAGCTGCTGCCAGCAATCTGTAACAGAACAATGGACGTATCCCACATCAATAACAGACACTGAGCATGAATTTGACAAAAGGAACAGAACAAGGTCAGGATGAGTACAGGATCTATGTGATAATAATGGAAATAATGTCAGAATCAGAGTTTGTGAACATGAAGACTATTGAAAGCCTTCTCTGCATGTCATCAATCCACAGCCTGGAACCGTTTTATTTTCTGATTATCAGTTGATCCACTTTCCATATAATGTTGGTTATTTATCTTTATTTTAATGTGAAATTACATTTGTCATCATATTGCTACCAGTAGTGCAAAAGAAGATGCAGCCTAATGGGAATAATCTACAGTACTCTTATATTTTTATGTCTCAGGGAGCTGCACATAATAGCAAGTCAAATTCTGTTTGACCTCTCATCTTTATTCTTATTGATCTCAAGGGTTAAAAGACGAGGTTGTGCCCAGTCATGTGGTACAGGTGAGAAGTGGAATAACAGCCACAGCAGCCAGATGACTCACCTCCTGCAGAGCTCTGAGGACCATGGGGATCTGCTCCGGGTAGAGGAGTCCCTGAGACATCAGAGACAGGCAGGTCTTTGCGTCCCTCTTCAGCTCATCGTAACTGTCATCGTTCTCAACTGGAGCAATCTGGAGCACAGGAAGGAGATAGGTGAATGTGTGGGCTAGCGTCATTGTTGAGTACACGTCAAGAGGAAACAATTTAAAGCGGGTAGTGACAATACTAGTTGCTATGAATGAATGAGTGTTTCACCTTGAAAAGCAGGGGGAGCAACCGCAGCTGTTCTGGCACAGCAGTGGAGAAGGAGCGACCGGCACTTGCAATCAGCCACTTCAGCACTGCAGAAGACAGATGTATTTTATGTTGATCTTATTTTCTAAATTATCCCCCCCCCATGTTTGACGAAAATAAATACAATTTCTGTTTAAAATAAATTCCCTATTCTAACTAGTATTAATTGTGACAGCTGAGTTAACATTGATAGGTTCTTCACCCACCTGTCTTAAGAAGCTTGATGGCTTGCGTCCTCTCATCCTGCACCCCCCCCACCTCATTCTCCTCAATCACGTGGTTCTGGATCTCCTCGTCGCCCTCATTGAGAGGCTTCAGCTGCAACAAAATCCGCTCG